AAAACTGCGACATAAAAAACAATGAATTATTTCTGCATATTTCTTGATGCCGATTTCGAAACAATTGGATTATTGTTGAACTTTCATTTTGCCTCCCCATAGCTTTGCCACTAGGCAAAAATATGACATTTATTCGATTCCTCCCAGGTTGATGGAAACCTGAATATGTAACTAATGATTTTGAGATCGTATTCAATTCTTTTCATATCTACCCATATCATTTCATTTCTATCAATATTATATGTTGGATAATATATATAGGCATTTGGCAATCATTGTAGTGAGAAATCTATATGATTTTTATGCAATGGTTATTTTTGATTTGTTGTTTGTATTGAATGAATAAATCTATTAATAGAAGAATGTATTGCCGTCTTGCTATTAAATATTGAATGATAAATATAACGCTTATTCAATAGATATTAATATTTTGAATCAGGGGATCTATCAATTGAAAGAACAAGGAAAATATTGAATATGATTTTTCCAAAGCAATTGCATCATCGGGAATATTCATCTGTTGGGTCCAAGATTCTGCTGCCATTTGGGTACTTTTGCGGCCGGGTGTATGCAACGTCATATAATATAGGTAAATTAAGTTCATAAGATGGATAACAATATTATTGATATTGGATCATCTATTGCCTCAACAAGGGCTTGCAATGAAGGTCCTATCGGACCGCGCCTCCGAATGGCTCATTGATGCAGAGATGGGGACGACGGATGATTTTCTTGGAATTTATATAGCCACTCTCATCCTACCGACAATCAACGATTATCGAAGAATGATTGCAATATTCCAATAAAAAATCACATTCCTATATTCGGATGGATTACCAAACATTATTATTGTGCAGGCCGGAGCGCCTGATATGTTTTATTATAACATGCAGGTCGTGGATCATCTCAATGGTTCTTCCATCCATGCGGCCGACTAATTCGGCAAATATATAAAAGCGAAACGTGCGCTATTTTATCTGAATATATTTACATATTCTAAGCATTATGTCGGCCTTTCCTCGGCTACCACCTTTTTTCTTTTCTTCTTCTAATCTTCTATTCTCCTCCTCCGTAATCCCCCGCTATTGAAAATTACGATTCGATTCTATTATAGTCACATAAAAACATAGTATAATATAAACAAAAAATATTTATATTTAAAGCAAATACCTAGATGTATTTCAATAATAAAACGAAATACCAAAAATATAATATATATTATTTTAATGTAATTCAACAATTATATTATATATAATATAAAAAAATCAAAATAATCCTATTCAAATATAATTTTTGAATATGTTTAAACTTGAAAATTTAAAAGATCTTTTTTGATCCCAATAAGCTATTGATCACGATAATATATTATTCATTACGAAAAAATATTTTGCAAACATAATATGTTTTATCATATAATATATCAAATCTATCACAAAATCTATCCTTAAATATCGATAAATATCGATTATGAAATTTGTATATTGAATTTTATAAAAAATATCTATCACGAAATATATTTTATATTTTCCTCATTGCTACGAAAATTGCTTTTATATATCCCTAAAATATATTATTCGTCATTAAATTTCATTTACAAGAATTCCAAAATAATATATTCAATTTATATATATATGTATATAAGAATTATAATTCATTATCCCTATCACGAAATTAATATAAGAAAATCCATTATCCAAGACGTCATATCTGCCAATAAATATAGCAATCGATATAGAATCTCTCCATTTTTTTAAATTAATCACGGAAAATCGACTTTGAATTATCTAAATGCGATCTTTTTCCCTCGCATTTATCACGAAAATTTATTGCCTAATCGAAATATTTTTCATTTCAATTTCCAACAACCTCAACGAATTGCCCGTATTGGGCAGCAGCAGGAACTAGTCCTGGCCGGACACTTCTTGAGTGTCTATGCACCGGTCTCGAAAAGTAGCAAAGATATTCAAGCAACTGGATTATTGAGCAGCTCATCGAAATTCTTTGGCTGTATGGGCCAGGGCCTTTTTCAAAGGTTGTTAGTGCACCTCTTCGAAACAATCCAAATAAGATAGATGGATGCAGCTACCTCCGGGTCACACCCTAGTGGCAGGGGTGCACGAAAATCATCACAGGAAAGGATCGTGCCACTGTGCCAAAATATACCACGATAATGGCCTTCTATCGGGCTTTGCCCAAATGAATGATGTTGATTGTCCCAACAAAGCTATGCCATTCCTTATGGATACCTCGGCGCTCACTGAAGACCGGGATTTGCAAAGATATACAACGATCCCAAACGACCGAAGACGTGTTTTTGAGGCCAAGTGCGGGAAACCTAGACACCTGGAGACAGATCCAAGGGCAAATATATATATAAATACATAAATGAAAGGCTCTTAATGATACCAATTCAATACAAATTATTGCAATGTGATGAGGCCTTCTACTAGATATGCCATAGGAATTGGGGACAAATATATCTGCCTGGTCTGCAATCGTGCTCAATAATCTGTCTGGCATTCCACCCTATTTGCATATAATGCGGGAACGTCTTTTCCAGCAGGCGTTGACGGAACCATCCGACGAATTCATCGATATCGTATAGGGCATGTCTCGAATGATTTGCAAATCAATCTATAAATATATTATCCAAGAATTGGTATAGACATGGGTCAACAACAGCCCCAGCATAGTCCACGATCATGCTGAAAAATTGTTTTTCCCATGTTCCCCAAATGGCTATATTGAAGTTCTGGTTCATAATAAACCTCCCCATTTGGTCCATGAACATTAATATAGCATATATATCCGGAGCCGCCCAATTTGGCCTCAAGGAAGGCGTTCATGATCTCCTCAATCGTTAGGAGATGGCATTGGTAAAGGGGGAGCGTTGCAAGTTCGCCAACCTAACCCTCAAGAGCAGCAATTATATAATGCCCATTGCCGGAGAATTTCTAAAGCAATTTAAATATCTCCATCGATCCTTTTTGAATTCCGCAAGCAAAGATCTAGGTACCAAGGAATTGTAATCGAAAAATCCTAAGGCAAATTCTTCTAATTCATAGAATATAAAGCCGATAATTTGTAGAATTACCGATGGTTAATGTCCGAAATAAGTAATTCGTTCCAAGAAAATCCGAATTTCCTATGAAATCAAAAGCGAGGATCTAAATATTCCAAATGAAGAAATCGATATATATATATATATGCATAATATTATATTAACTATTCAATCGAAATTCATATTCATTCATTTCCGCCAATTTCTAAGAATCTATATAATCGAAATTCATTTAGAAAAATTAAAAACGAAAAATATATTTAATATTAATAAATTTAATGTATATATATATATTTCCCTCCAATTATATCATCCTAACCGCTAATAATCTCCTACAAATATTTATTAATATCTATAAAATTAATCGATATAAACACATCGAGATATAATTAAATAGATTCCTAATTTCTATTATATAATTTAATATTTTCTACTAAAGACTAGGAATATCGATTAACCTTATATTAAAATCGAATCCAATACGATCTAAAATTTATTCTTAAAAATCTGGAAAAATCATACTTTTTTATAACAATACGACCGTCTAATTTCATAAATTCATAATTTCGATAATTTCCATATACTTAAATTACAATAATACCCATTACAATTAATCATCGAATCGAACATCTCCATCTAAAATTTGTATGTATATTTCAAACATATCCAATCAATATTTATTCAAATCCGAAGACAATCATTAAAATACCCAAAATATTAAATAACAATCGATTAAAAAAAATCGTTATAATTTTACTATATAGATATAACAATTAAGATATTATTTTAATCAAAATATATGTATATATATTATACATAAATATTACATATATTTTAATGTAGTAACTTTCAACGACTCCATAACATAGTACAATTGTTATATACAATATGCAAAATATTTATTACCAAATTATATCATAATTCATTTCATTTCATGAACGGCAGAGATTCTTCTGCCCATTTTGGGCTGCAACTGTCGTGACAGTCGGACATTTCAGGAACGTCGAGGCCCACATCCGCGAAAAGAAAAACTAAGTCAGCGAGCTCTGTCAAAAGCATCACCGAGCAGATCATGTAAGGCCGGCGTCTGTGCCATCGTTGTCGTTCGACAGATGGGCATGTTCCATCTCGGATGCTGCAATGCCGTGGTCGGCGTAAGCCAAAGGAGATAGCATTCACTGGCAATCATCTCATGCATGCGTGTCTGGTATGGAGGGTTGTCATCATCCGCAAGAAGCACACCAAGGGACGTGTACATAGCACTCACATAGTGCCCACTCGTGGGCACCTCACCTTTGTGAAGCACTGAGGCTGTGACACGATAGCTATGCCAGGTGACTTCAAAGCCCTGTGCTGCGTCGAAGATGGGTACGAGTACCTCAGTCCGGCTTCCATAGATCGGTTCACAAAACTTGGAATCAAGACTGGGAAATCGGTTCACCTGGATGCAAATCATGTCATTGGTTTGGACAAATATACAAACAAAAGGATCATTCAAGCGCCAATCATCAATCAAATCTTGCAGACTAGACTTTTGGCTGCAGCTCAAAAGTATCGGGGCTAAGACCTTTCCATGGTCCTCAACCAAATGCAAAAGGCGCTTTTGCCAGCCGGCTTGAAGACTGCCGAGCTGGTGCTGGTCAAAAAGTTGGCCACGAAGCCAACCTGCAAATTCAGCAGCATCTTGCTGGCTGAGTACATCATGTGTTTTCAACCATGGCAGGAGTTGTTCACCAAAAATAGCATGATCTGTCTGTCAGGGTCAGTGGCTGTGTTCCCAAGTCTGTCAGCATGGAGGTCAAAGGCTGAGTCCATGTTCCCCGCATGGATGTTGAAAATCCATCACACATTAGGCAGGCCCACAACTGAGCACGAAACACGCTAACAATGTAGCAATGATTCCCTGGGTTGGACCATACCTAATTGGCCAAGATACGAATCATCTCCGCAGCTTCTGCGCTATGGCATTGGCTAATGGGCTCCGCTGAAGGCCCGTGGGCCGGTGGCGCATTGCCACCAGCTGAGTCAGCCCGTTGCCGCATAACTTGTTCACCAAATTGCAGAGCTCCGAGCTTTCGGGTGTCCTGACAGAAATGTCGAGGCGCCATGCGATTGAGATCTGTTGATCCCCGGGGAATTCTTTGGGCATTGGCTTCATGGCCGCAAACTTTTGAAAGACATGTGCCTGAGTGGACAACTGAATCATCCGTTGAAGCATTTCGTGCAGCTGTGGGGAGCTCAAGAGATCCTGTTTCGTGGGCTTGAGGCACTTGGAATTGTGATCCCATCCAAGAAAGTTCCAATGGTTGGAGGTGGTCAGGATCTGTCTTGTCCTCAACCCTTTGATCAATGCGTCTTCTGGCGCGTCGAACTTGAGAAGCTGGGCTCGTTTCAGAAGTTCCTCCATCAAAGTTCGAAACAGAACTGCTCTCAAGGGCTGCTGAACACCTTCTCCTTGTTTCTGCATGTGCCACTCCTTGGAGGCCTGCAAAAGGAGTGGCATCAGGCGAGCTAGCATGAACGTGAGTTCTCGGTCGTCCGACGAAGAGGCGGAGGAGTTGGACGATCTGTTGGATCTGTTCGGTCCAGATCTCCGGTCGAATTGTCCAGACTGCTCCGTTCGTGGCCGTTTCCCAAAGTGTCATGAGGCCGTGAAAGCCCCGATCGTCGTGTTGCATCTCTGGCATACTTGTCAGGCACACGTGAGTCAAATCGGATATCTTGGGCCAGTGTATGCTCAAGTTGGTACAAAATGGGCAACACGTGCAAAAGCTGATCACATTCCTTTTCGGGGATGAATATCTGGTCGTATGCAATCAACTCCCAATCATCCGAGGCCCAGGCCCATGCAAAAGGAAGCTGCTCGGTGAGGTACTGAAGAAGATTGCAAATCCAGGTGAGGTCAAGGCAAACCTGAGGCAGAACGTTCCAGTGTCCAAACCAGGTCATCAAGTGCACGTGCCAATGCAACCGATGTTTTGGCCAGAAGGTCAGTGAAGGAGTCAGGGCAATCAGGCATGGGTGTACAAGCCCTTGGGAAAAAGGTTCTGGGTTGTTTGACTGCCAATGTCGTCCAATCAGTCCCGGCGAATCAAATTGCATCGTCTTCACTTGAAAGGCAGGAATGACCTCACTGTCAGGAACTACCGGGGCTCCAAAATGCAAATCCGAGGCCATCTGGCAGAGGCGTACAGGACATGATGCGCGTTGGAAATGGGTCCTGGGGGCTTGTTCTACACTGAAGGTGGCCTTACAGTGTGCACACGTCAATCTGCCTGGAAGGACGTCGCGCATGGGAATGAAGTCAAATTCAACTGGTCGATCAAATTGATGGTATGTGCGCAAATGTGATGCGATTGCTTTCCGGCCTGTTTTGCTGGGACATAACGGACATTGAAATGTGTGCATGGGTTCCGGAATCGGTCCCGTATCAGGAAGCTTCAACACTTGTGCCAAATCATCTGTCGTCGGTCCCTTGCTCGGACGGCCTTTGGCCATCGACTTGGTGCCAGCAGGCATCACCTGTGAGGACGAGGCAGAGGAGTCGTTGGTACTCGACTCATGGGCATGTTGTACATGATGCTGGAGGCCCTGATTTGTCAAAAAGGTGACATGACAGACTGGACATTTGTGCAAATATGCTGGCTTTCGATCCTTGCTGACCTCAGCTTGTGGCACCTGTACATCAGAGTTGAACGGCTGAGGTGGCTTTGTCGGGCGGACAGGTCAGGATGGTTGACATTGGTGTATTCCGAGGCCGTTGTCCAAGGACATTTATTCACAGGCGTGATCGGATAGTGCTCGGGCTGCATCGTTTGTCCGGCCATGATGGTCAGTTGAAAGAGCACTCCACAAGCATAAGATTCAAGCTTCTGAGTTTAAGTGCGGCACAATGGACATGTACTTTTCCCGGATCCGAAGTTGGCCGCCCATCGAACACGGTCTTTGTGCACCGTGGAGTACTGCATCAAGTCTGGGTGTTGGTCACTATAGTGTTTGGCAATGGCTCTGGGGCCAATCTGTTGGTTGCAGTATGCACATCTACTTGCCAACTCAGCAATTAGACTCTGATCAAGAATGAGGCCCTGGTACGACTGATGTCGTAGGTGCATTCTGAGCTCTGGTCTCGCTGCAATCGGAATCACGGTGCCCTTGGTTGCACGAAAACAAGAACAGGAGAAGGAATTGAAGTGTTCACGTAATGTACGCATGCTGGCAAATTGCTGAAAACAATGAGAACATGTACTGGTTCCATCATGAGCATTCGTAAACAGTTAAATACATCTTCCATCAAACAGGCATATCCATGTTGTTGTCTTAAGTGCCGTTTCAAGGAACCCGCCTGTTGAAAGCAACGAAGGCACTCAGGGCACTTCAACGTGCTGTCTGGTGTGACCTGCAGTGGCGGGTCTGTGGGGGGAATGAGTTCTTGATCTGGATAATCTGGGGTCAAAGCACAGATGTCATGGCTCTGGTTGGCCATATTCCCGCTCAAGGTGGCGCGACGTGAATGCAATGCCGTGGCAAGACGAGCAAATGTGTTTTGCAAAGTAACCCATGGTGGGTCAAGTCCATGTCGATGGAAGCAGTCATGTGTTGACTCGTGGGTGAGGTGCACTGGCTCTCTGATCATGCGACGAAGGTGGACATTGATGATACTGACCAGTTGTTTAAAGCCTTGCTGTGTGACACCCATTTCAAAAATGCCATATTGCGGTGTTGGTAGAATGCATTGTTTGTACAAGCGAAATTTCAATGGCTTAGGAATGATTGTGGTGTCTGTGAGCCATCGTCTTAAGACATGAAAGTAATGCTGAGCTGCTGAAATCCGGCGTTTGGTGGTGTCCATCTCCCAGGCTCGATAACTGATCACGACACCCAAGTACGCTGTTTTGGAGACGAGCGGAAGTTTCCAATCCAGGTCAGGAATGATCAATCGTAGCCCCTCTTTGGAGCGCACAGCCCATTTGCGCAAAAATGCTGGTACGGATCGACCAATGATACGGCATAGCGCCACGCTCTTTTGAACATTAATATGAAGGCCATAGGATTTCATTAATGTCAAAACAAAAGACAGGTCAGTCAAGGCCTAAAGTCCATCCTCATGACTTCGAATGTACCAGCGGAGGTGAACATCGTCCGCAAAGACAATCAAATGTTCATGGAGCCATGTGTGGGAGTATCGTGCCAATAAGTCGACCATCAGCAAATGCATATACAAGGACCACAACAAGGGGGCCGCTTTTGAGCCCTGTTATATGCCCCCTGTTATATGCCTCGGGTGGCTGTTAAATGGCCAACCAGGTCCTTAAAAAAGGAATATAGTACTGATTGGGTGCAAGCCAGGCATGAATCATGGTGAGGACATCATGGGGCAAAAAAAATGGCTAGTGCTCTATGAACAATATTGCGGCTGATTGTGTCAAATGCCTTTTCCATGTCCAATGAAACCTGCAAACCACCTATCAGTTTGCGACGATCCAGATTTTGTCTGGTCTGCTGGCATGCCTCACGAACAGCTCGACAGTGAGCTGAAGTCAGGAGCAGGCAATCGGTCGTACTGCGTCCAGTCAAGTAGGCATATAATGGCAATCGTCGAAGTTGTGGAAACTCTGAACCCATGACCCGCCTTATTCACAGGGTGTTGAAGACAGATTGGTCGAAGGGCTTCAGGTTTATTACAAGCCTTGCCTGGTTTAGCTAGAAGATGAAGCCACCTGGCGGACCAGTGTTCAGGTGGCAATGGATCTGCCTGCAACAATGATCATGAAGAGACCTGTATAGGATGGGAGTCACATCATGGGCAATGGCCCTCCAAACAATGGCAGGGACTCCATTGGGTGCCGGGGCTTTGGTAGCCGGTAGTTTACAAAATCCCTCAAGCAACTCAGTCTCAGTGAATGGCAGTGCCTGCAGCGCGGGTCGAGGTGGCAGGATCAGGTCTGAGTCCCGAATCAAAACTCCGAAGTAATCAACAATTTTCGTGAGTTCCAGGCCTGGTGAGAGTGGATGACCCTTGTTATCATAGAGTTGAATCCTACGAAACGGGTGTTTGGGGCTCAATTGTCTGATTCTTCTGTGCCAGTCAAATGCTCTGTTCGTGAGGGCAAGATCCACACTATCCTGAAGGAAATGTTCAAGTCTCTGACGCTTATGCAGACGACTCATTTTCTTGATCTCACGATGTGTGGTGGAATACTGGCTGAAGTGGTGCCAAAAATTGAACAAAGTCTTCAGGTCCACACTCTGGCATTGCTTGGCCAGTCGGCGTGCCTGCCACATGCGGGAGGAGATGGAATGGAGGACAATAGAGTCAGGTCTGGATCTGGGCACACATGGAAACCATCGAATACACAATTCACGCAGTTGAGTCTCAAGCGGTATACTCGTGAGGGGCATGTGATCCAATTCTGAACTCCTATATGTATGATTACGAACCAATTCACCTGCAGGAGTGCAAAATTGTTGCCACAACGGTGTTTGGGCCAGAGAGGCCTGTCGAAGCTGGAACCTATTAATGGGATCGGGAGCACTCTTCATGGTCCTGGCTGGGTGCCATTTAGGGATACACAAGCTCACCGATTAATGATGGGGCCCAATGATACCAAAGTTCCTATCAAAATCCTGAACGAGATGGGAATCCATGGAAGTTCGACGTTGCTTGCGACGAATCAGAATGAAATCAATCCGAGTGGCATGATTTCCATGTACAAAGGTTGGCTTCTAGTTTCCGGCGGGCAATGCAAGAAGCTGCAAGTCTTGAATCATCTGCTGAAAAACCTCTTTGTCCGTTTGACTGGCTTTATCGAGTTTCGGGTCAAATGTCTGGACGAATGGAGGATGCTGCTGAAAAGGAGAATTGAAGTCTCCAGCAATGACCAAAAAATGGGTGTACGGGATGTGGTTGACACATTCAGTGATTTTCCTCCAAAGTGCTGCACGGCGAGTACAAAGTGCCTTAACCCCCCGTCCTAGATTCCAGCTGTGCTGGTAGATGGCCAAGATGTCATAAGTTTGATGCATGGGAAGTTGAATCTGAAGACAGCGACCAGGTATATGAACAGCTACGGATATGTGGTGACTCGAAATGAGCTTTGATCTAAGCATAGTGAGCACTAATGCATTACGAAGTGTTGGTTGGTCCACTCTCCGTTAAATGCCCATTCCGTTTCCTAAATAATGAAGCAGTCGTATAGACTAGCAGTGCACCAAGTCTGAAATTCTTCGTAATAAAGTAAGCGTGAGGCATTCCAAGACAGGATCTGCAGGAAGGGGGCAGACTCTTATGTGGGGGACATCCGAGTTCTATCACGATTAAAAGAGTCGGATGTCTGTCTGAGTTGCCATGCTTGTTTAAATTTCCGAGGAATATCTTTGGGATATATCGTCTGACCTTTATAAAATGTAACACCTTCAATAAGACTACGAAAGCATGCTCTTTAAAAAGCTCTTTTCAATCTTTTAATGCGTGATGCGGAGTACACTAGACCGAGGCCCGCCTTAGCCCAAGCCTCATGTAGCTTCGCGGCCATTACAAATAAGCGTAGCAAAATCAGGCCGCTCTCGACCCCTTATAAGGCCAAAAGGTCTATCCTCACGCCCGGTGCCTCCTGCCTATCCCCAAAATAAACACTATAGTAAGGAGTACCGCCCGGACTTAAGATCGGGAATTCCAAGAGAATTCGAACGAAAAATGCAAGGCCGATGGTTCTCATGTAAAAGCAGCGGGGTCGAAGGAACGAAATTGCAATTCCCCGGGAGCTAACACGCGACCGTCTAAGCTGGAGTGGCGCTTTTATATCATAATATTCGAATATATATATTAAAATATAGTTTTACAATCAACATCATAAATAATCATAAATTCAATATATTTATCAATCAAATAACGATCTAATCTATCGATTGCCTATCATAATAGTTTAATATCATATCAAATTAATCGAATATTTAACTAAAAAATAAAGACCCAATATCATTCATATCTATTCAATATTAACATATGCATAAAAAAATCAATATACGCAAATATATAAATATATAATATACATATATATATATATATATCGTAATTTAGATGTCTATTAACGTCCCCAATCTGAGATTAAACGCCTTTCGTCTCCAAAGTCTTCCATGCTCAAGGCCACCTTCCCTACTCAGTCTGCAATCAATGCATGGAATGTGGAAGAGTCGAAATGCTGACACCAGCTATTGTCTTGCTTTGCAAGAATTTGCAAAAGGGAGACCTTGTGACCGAAGGAGGTCCAACAATATCAACAAATCATACCTACGGTCCATGAGAATTGGTTGCCTGAACTCAAAGTTGTTCCTTCTTTGGTGCTCCAACTGCGCAGCCAATGTTTTACTGGACTGTACTTACTTGCATTCGCCACGTGGCATCCATGCAGAGTTTTTTTCCAACGGCGACACATGCGCCTTTCCCAACTTCCAAAAACATGCAAAAACAACAAGTTTATGTAATTCAGAAGTCTGCCCTGCATCGTGCCACATGGGTGTCTCAAAACAAAATTGAAGGAGACCCTGGAATGTGCCACCCACGTGTCTTTCTGAAATCCAATCTCTAACTGCTACTAGTTGGAGGCCTTGGCCCGAAGGGTCCCCCATTCTCAGGGTCACTGTCTCGAGAATAAAGCTCTAATCAAATCAAGGTCGTGACCACCATGACTAATGAGCACCGTCAGCCAAGCTACAGAACCAGCGCCCAGACCCAAAACCCAATATGAATAGTTCTCCAGCAGGACAATTCCTCCAAGCATCGCGGCAAAGGAACAAGTGAACACGGCGCTTGTGTCAGACCCTTGGGAGCAAGGGCACTACTAGGGGCTCCTGGCATCGCTACTGGGAACAAGAAGCTGCTAGGGGCCTTCTTGTCACCATGAATCAAGCGGCCCAAATCTGCTTTAATTCGGACCCAAGATTCGTGAAGTCTTTGTCCTACTTCCGGGTGAACATTTCAGGAACCTACATATGGAACAAGACTGATCCTGAGCCCTGGAATTCTAGTCCGGTCCTGCAAAGTATGCCAAGTCAAAACCAGTGGATTGCAAGAACGCGACTTGCGCCGCCACGAAAACGAACGCTTCGATAAGGAAACTCATCGCATTGCCAATCATCGCATCCTGATAACCTTGACCCGTGGTGGAGAAGATCTCATAGTACTGGCGGTTATACCCGAAAGTTTCGGTATGAAGCAAAGCCATCACCATCATGTACATCAAAGGAACTGCGACTTCACAAAGCTCAACGAGAGCAAACACCTTGGCGTGTCGCGCAAATTCGTTGAGGAGTCGGGCCTCCATAATGGTGATCTCACTTTCTTGAAGACTTTCTCGGGTCTTTCCCGCCAAGTCAATCACAAGGTTGTTGAGTTGCTTTCGCACTTGGAATGCCAATCGCCACTTCTGATACACGAGAAGTGGCAAGGCTGTAAAATTTATCCACCTCTTGCACAGCCGACTCTGTGCTGAGCCTGCCTCAGGCTGCTTGCTCTCAAAAAGCGGAAAATGTGGAGGACGCAAACTCACACACAAACACTTCTACAAGGATCATCAACAAGCATATTTGTATTACACATATATATATATAACTATATAATACTATATATACATATATACATACACACCACATGTATATGTTACACTCCAAATTTATCCGACAGAATGCTTTTCGTGTTTTCAAGGCATGCTTGCTGCCTCCACCAATGTCATCTCTTCGAGAACAGCAATAAGACAACCGCAGGTTTTCAAAGCGATTGCCAAAGCTTTTCCTGCAAATGTGGTGGAGAATTAAGTAACCAGCAAAGATGAGTTCTGATGGAAACGTTCCGATCAAACCGTTTCTCTTTTTGACTCCACGTTCCGATCCAACAAAAAAGGTAGCTTCCCTCTTTGCAAACCAAATCGGCTGCTAAACTCACCGGGATATCGAGCCGGTCAACGGAGGACATGCTTCAATTGGAGCCGTCTACTGGCCGACAAACACAAGAACAAGCGTCCTCATACAACTCAACTGGGGACAAAGCAGGGTCGACTTCGCTGTAGCCTGTGACAGGCCCGGTCCTGCGTCAAGGATCAGCATCACGCACAGAACCACGCCATTCTTTGCGCTGGATAAAAGGGCGGCCGAGAAGAGAAATGCCACAAAGAGAATCAATATCTTTGCTTCTTCAGTGATGTACCTCAGACTTATATCGAAATCTACAGTGTCTAAAAGTCATTCGTTTGCTTGAGAAGCTGGGCTCACTGGAAGACCACCACATTTCTTGAATCGAACAGGAGCAAATAACTGCGAAATATACGTGTGCAGTATTGAACAAGCCCCGGGGGCTTCAGAGATTCGTGAAGGCACTCTAAAGAACAAACCAACATCACCGTTTGGGCAACCTAGGACCTGTAAGGATGCAATTCTTCCTTGGCTCGCAATCCCGTGAAAGTGCAACTTGTTGGCCAAAACCCGGTTTCTGTTTCTTTCTAATAGCCCCGACAAAGGAAACTGAACTATGTTCCCACTCACAGCCGGACTGCTCTGGCACTCCAAGGTATCGTGGGCCTATCTTGTTGACCGCCCATCCAGTTCCAGCCATCATGGCAGTAACGGCCTCGGCAGGCTACGGCCATTTCTGATCCACATTTATTAGTCTAGTCTATGTAAATGTAACAAAAAAGCAACAAAATCATTAACACATTGTACCCAACCCAACTCCCAACCCATGATTTTCTTTTGCAAAACGTGTTTTGGCGTACTCGTCCTGGGAGTCTGGCCCGTCCCACTTCCCAGCAAACTTCCAGCAAGAGGGCAAGATCCCATCATGTGGGTAAACCACCTCTTTGTAGAGGACTATTGTTATCCAAGGCCCAAGGGACCATTTTCCACTTTGATGACTATTTCACAGAGTGTATGTCAACTGAGCCCCTGACGGCACTGCTAAGCAGCTGCAATGGCACCGAGAGGGCGGGGAAAACTTCCAGCCAGAGCGTAAGCACTCCAAACTGCAAGGTCGTAAAGATTAATTCCTGGTTGGTGGTTCAGCGCACCCCCCAAAGAAAGTCAATTGGGAGAACCATTCCCAAATACGAAAACATCTTCTAAACTACCCAGATTCCAAATATGCAAACTGGATGAAGGCCCGGAGGTCAGAGGTTAGGAGATCTTCTGGGATCAAGTAGCCTTGGAACGTTCTGCGAGAGAGAGGCCAGCGCGCGCATTTTGGCATCAGAGAGGCTCGCAAAACCCACGGCAGCATTGGTTGGAAAGAGTTGCTTTCTTGGCGCTTTTTGAGTGCGTTTTGCTCCCCTTTTTGGTGAGACCAGGTACCAGGCGTCACATCATGTTGAGACAACCAAGTGTTGGCCACCCCATAAGCAACTCGAGCTAGTCTACAGTCAAGGAACTTCCCACAAACAACGTAATGAAGGCACTTGGGAGGCAACTGGTAGCAGCGGCAAAAGGCATTGGGTAAACGCCGAAGAGGCTGGCCATAAAGTGGATGAAAATGCATGCCTCAGTTTTTGCGAGCCACCTACTGGCTGCGACAATTGGGATGTATATGGTCAAGCGAACGCCTGCGCAAACCAACGACTGTGACTCATGAACCCAGCTCCATGGCAAGTTGCCTATATTTAATTAGATTGTATTGAAATTTGAGATCCGTGCCGCGCATCGCGCACGACAGGTCCAAGCTCTTGCATTGATAGGTGATCAACCACTTCTTTCGAAGCATTAGAAACGGTTTCCAATTTCTTAGTGGGGATCTACTTTTCTATCTATTTGGGGGTCTCTCTCTCTATATTTATAAATACGTATAAAAAGATATAAAAAGAAGGTTCAAGCAGCGCCAGTGATGAACGACCCCTAAAGACGGTCCCTTCCCACCCAACAATTGAGGGAGGCTCCTTTTCGAAAGAATCCCCCCGAGAGAATTCCTTTTCGAAAGGAACCAAAAGGAAATGACATCCCCTTGCTAAAGTGACTTTGGAAGGGACAGTCACAGGACACAAACAAGGTGTTATCATTTTAGATTGCTCGCAAAAGGAACTGCAAAACACATCCTGTCACAGGTTTCCATGTTCGTTCGTTTGGTTCATTCGCCCGGTGACATCAACAGATATGCAGACCGACCCGCACTCCAGGGTGCCCGTGGACTGGCCCCCTTGAAAAGCATGTCTGACTGCAAAAATGTGTTTCATTGTATTTGTATCGCATCATCAAGAAAACGGATTAAAAGAATCCAAAGTGGTTACATCCAACAACCAAAACCAAAAAACAAGATGGAACCCACGAACCCAAATGCAAACACGTACTAACCCGAAATCACTACTACCTTAACCCCCGGGGTGGGGTCAAAAATGCAACTTAAAGACTTACATTTTTGGGTGTCAAAATCCAAAAGACAGGGGTCAAAGTTGTAAGTTACATTATTGACCCTCATGTGTGTTTGTTCAGCCTGTACGCACTCAAAAACTGTAGGTCACATTTTTGAGGGTGAGGTGGAAGCATGGGCCCTCACCCTCAACATTGTAACTTGCAATGTCCAATCTGTAATGAAAACCGATGACAAAGATTCCGCACGGCCTGTTTTAATGATCGTCCATGGGGGATCGAATACATTTGTGCAATTGTAAATTCAGCTGTTTGGTACAGTCTTGTACACTTTGCCCTGCGTTTCTCGTAAGTCACACTAGCCCTCACATTTGCTGTACATGTAGGAGGGTGACTAATTGTAACATTGCCTTTGGGGCGCTCTGAAGTGCGCACTGCGCCGCATTTTTCCTTGGAAGTGTTGGCATGTAGCGGCTGCGCACGAAGATTACGGCCAGTGGGAAAAGCAGTCTAATTGTAATATTTCCTGCTGGGTATACTCGAGGGTGTGCTGTGTGGCGTTTTCCTTGGATGTGCTGGCCTCAACAGATATTGGAGAGCCTAACCAGTGCGGAAGGGGGGAACAAATTGTAATATGGCTTCCTGGGTGCACTATGGTATACTATGGTACACCCTGCGCAGTGTTTTTTCCTTTCATGTTCTGGCTTCAACATTTCTCTTACGAGCTTCAATCGTCGGAGAAAAAGGTTGTAATTGTGATGTGGACCTGTGGGGGGGCGCTGCGCCCCCCCCAACCCCCCGCACACCACGAAATCTGCACTTCATCTCCAACACCCGCGCCTACCACGAAATCACATTTTAAGGTGTACCCCCTGCGGCAAAACACCTTCTCCACCAACCAACCAACCAAC